GATTGATCATATTTATGTGGAAGTATCCTCAGGTAGTATAGATTTAAGTTTGTTCAAATCATGACCCCCTGGGGTAGGGCGGGGCCACAATGGAGGATCAATGTCTGAAATAGAAATATATAGGAAGGTATCTTCTGATGAAGAACTGCAAAGCCATGATTAGTCATTTTGATATGGAAGCATCTTCAGGTAGTGTAGATTCAAGTTTGACCCCAGGGATAGGGATGAGCCACAATGGGGTATCGAAAAATTTTTACATAGGAACATACTGGAAAATATCTTCTTCTCAAGAAATGAAAATCTTGTTTAGTCATTTTGATATGGAAGCATCCTCAGGTAGTGTAAATTCAATTTTTTTTTTTCAAATGATAACCCCCAGGGGTAGTTTGGGGCCCAATGGGGATTGAAAGTTTTACATAAGAACACATAGAAAAAATATTTCTTCTCAAGAACAGAAAAGCTATGTTTAGTCATATTGATATTGAAGCATCCTCAGGTAGAGTAGATTCAAGTTTGTTCAAATGATGACCTCTGGGATAGGGAGGAGCCACAATGGGGGGTCAAAATTTTACAAAGGAATATATGGGAAAATTTTTTTTAAAATCTTCTCAAGTACAACAAAGCCATTTGTTATATTGACATGGAAGCATCATCAGGTAGTTTAAAATTCAACCCCCCCCCCCAACCCCCAGTAATCTTTTCAATACTGAACTGATTTGTGTCTAGCTAATGTGCTCAGGTGAGCGATGTGGCCCATGGGCCTCTTGTTTTTTACCTCACCTGTGGTTAAAGCAAAAAGTTTCCGGCGTCTGTCTGTCGTGTGTTGTCTGTAATCTTCTAACGGTTTCTAAGACACATTGTAGGATCCAGTCAGTGTTCCACCTATATCTGTCCACCCTTATCTTTACTCTTCACAAAAATATTACCTGCTATGAAGGAGAAACTTCAAATATAATGTGCTGCACCATGTTCAAGAAGTGGTGCAAATCAAATGTGGATTTTGATTCTCAGAAACTATAAGAAATTTTTGAAAAATTTTAAAATTAACCCCCCCCCCCCATGATACATTGTAGCATAAAAAAATATGACTTTTCTATGCTTTATACAACCATTCCTTACGATAAAGACAAAAATTTTTGAAATCATAGATTTCTTCAATAACAATGTAACTCGAAAATTTTCTTGTGTTTGGTCATTTTACAACGTTACTTTGATAAAAAACATTCTTATTATAACACAAGTACTCTGAAGTTGATATTTAAAAGTTGTTAAGAGTTTCTCGTTAACAATATCTGTGTAGCCTTTGGAGACCCCGTCCTCCAACAATCTGTTGAAATTCTAATGGGTACTTATTGTGCTCCTTTATTGTATGACCTGTTTTATATTCTGATGAAGCAATTCATAAAAGATACCAGAGAGTCTGCCAAATCTGTTTCATATCTTAATGTTGTAGCTTTACGGACTAATACTACAGGCGCTGATGGCAAACTAACATCTAATGAGATGACTTCAGCTTTTCCATGGTCATCTTCCCCTATATAATTAATATTCCATTATCACCTGCATATATTGTTTATGTCTCCAAACTGATTCAATATTCAAGAGCATGTTCTAAGCACGATAAATTTTTAAACTTAGATAGGTTACTGACAAATAGGTTGATGTTACAGGGTTTTAGGGTCGGCATTTCAAATATTCTATACTCGATATAACATCCTTGTTTGCAAATACAACCTGTTGGTGGGTCGTAAATTGACTGACATGTTCCATACCCATTGTTACAATCAAATGTAGAGATACCGAACAGTAATCAAGCTCAAATGTCCATAGAAAAAATACAAATCAGGAGCAGAGCAAACACGGACCTCTAAAAACATCAGAGGTGGGATCAGCTGCCATGGAGGAGTAAGCATTCTCTGCCAACCTGTCACATCCGTCTTGTGGTCCTTGTCATGATCGGGAAAGCGGAAAAAATCCTTAGACAATTCAATGGGTAAATAATGGTAAAAATTAGTATGAAAAATGTCAGATAGCATTCGACTTAATGATAGATTGTATTTGCTGACAAGGTCATTGTATCGACATTAGAACTTACGAAACCATCAACTTGTTTGTCAATAGCTTGCCTCGTTTTAGAAATTGTTCGTACATAGAGCATGCTCTAGCATATCAAATCAACTGGGAGACATAAACCCCATATGCAGGTGATAAGGAAATGTTGCTACTTAAGTAAGGAAAAGTTGAAGTCATCACGTTTATCATAAAGTTTTGTTGTTAGGTTACCTTTAACGTCTTTTTCTAGTAAAATATCTAAATCTGAAGCATGTGTGACAGAGTCTTATTTCAAGTCCACTGGGATATATCGAATCCAAATATGAATGGAAGTAACTATTGGTAATTAGTAATACGTGTTCGATATATCTAAATGTCGAGCTGAAGGCCAAAGCAAATGTTTTCTTCTCATGTACAAGTTTTTAAATAAATTCCTCTTCATATGAATACACAAATAGGTCCGATAACGGGGCGCAATTGGTACCCATGGGAATTCCGATAGATGTACAATCAGAATGTTTTTAACAAAATAATTTTGTAAATGACCAATGACAAGGTAAGTAAATTTACGGGTTCCATTTTTATTGAAAAAGCAGCTATGATGTCAAAAAGCCTGGATTTTTAATTTATCGTGGGGAATGGTTGTATAAAGTGTTGAAAAGTACTAGTCGTACGTTTTGATGTTATTGATTTTTGTAAAAAGAAAAAAAAAATGATATCAAATTTTCTTAAAGTTACTTTGAGTTTTTAAGTATCCATCTGATTTACAACTCATAGGAATTTTTAATCGCAAAAACAATTTTTGAGGAAGTCGCTTTCAAAGGAATACGACCGCATATATGCCTTTCTCTCTCCATATAATTTAATTTACTTTGAATTAAATAGTCTTCTTCCTATGCGTAGAATATTTGTAAAGCAAGTATGAGGGTGAAGCCAAAGTTCACTCACAGCTGGTAAAAAAGAAGCGTTGTCCCCGTTGACGAAAGTGACTAGATTTCCAATAGACCACCAAGAAGTCTATTAGATCGAGACATGTTGGTTTTCGAACAGCTGCCTTCAAGGTCATCTAAGTAGTAAATATAAATGTTCCTCTTGTTGGTGTATCGATACTGATAGGTATGATTTCTCTACCCAATTTAGATCATGTAAGTTTATGACACAAGTGAGAACTCGAGAAACCCAGAGATGTGCATTGTGTGAATATCAAATGATAGGCGGGCCCGGAGGAAGCAATTACAGTATGGGGGATGGGGGCACAAGCTAGCAGAAATTGAAAATATTATAAATTCCTTGACAAGAAAAAAAGGTCATCATTGTGAGGGCATGACTGTACATTAGCTTTGTTTTCCATTACATAGTGTATGTTGGCAAATGGGGGGAGGGAGTAGCCCACACACATTACTAGTAATCCCCCCTCCCCCGCTTCCTAGTAGCCTGACAGGGACTCACCAATGGTGTCTTAATTCATTATATTCTCTCTTCTTTTATTATTGTCTGACTGATGATAAAAATTAAAATCAAACAAAAAAATAGATTAAATACACCATCCTTAAACCAAGCCCTTGAATATCAATATCCTGGCACCCTTTAAACAATGGCGAGTTCACATATACATCAAAAGATCAATACTTGTTATAATTAGAGACAATATGTCCATCAGATATGTGTATATATATCTTTTTTTGTGCAAGCAGATATTCTTTGTCCTTGATTAAGACGTGTTTTAACACGAATGATGAGGGTCTTATATTCAATCAAAAACATATTACGGTACCTGACATCGTCGGAAACCCACTGTCGGTCTCGCTACTGTAACCTCTCGTGAGGTAAGAAATGAGCGGACCGACTGTGATTACCTGTCAACAATTAACGTTTATGAATAAGGATAGAAAAGTACTTTTATGTAATATTTGGTTGAAATTCTTGAGAATACAAAGAGCTCCTTCTAGGCCTAAACTTACACTTTGGAAAATGATCATCTTTACCAAACATTAATGACTAAGAAAAAAAGGGGGAAAATTACCAAAAATAAAAAATAAAAAGAAATTAAAAAAAAAAAGAAATAAAAAGAAAAAGAAATAATAAAAAATCGATGTCGCTGAGAACAAGATTTTTTAAAGAAAATTTGTAGCATGTTTGAAAGAAATTTTATTTAAAGCTGCTCGGGTTAATCTAGATGACTTTTTTCACAAGCCCCCCCCCCCCCCCTCCCCCCAAGTATATTCTGTTTTCTGCCAGAAAACCATGCAAGGGGGTAGGGCGCTAAGAGGATAAAAATTTCATTGCCGATATCTGTTAAAACAAACACCAAAGCAGAATTTTTGTGAGGATACACATCTCTAATTATGAAAAGTATTCTCGACACGTACATGTTCAAAGGAAAAACATTGACCCCCCCCCCCCCCAACTTGCTAGAAAATGAAGAATGATACTGTGAGTTTTAGCTAATCAATTTCATGGTCCTCCCAGCGTACAAGTATAGCAAAGTATAGCAAATGAAGAAAAGTTTAAATAAATTAAATTGGTCATTATCTTATATTTTCCCATATACTCTAGATTTTTATGGAATATCCGACTAGAAATTAATATTTAAAAAAAAATACAAAGTAGTGTCTGCTGATTGGTTTCATTAATAAAATATTTCTATATAATTAAACAACCCACATGAGAAACAAATTAAAAAAAAATACTTCGGAAGAAAGCATTTAAAAAGAATTACTCGGGAAGAAAAAATGCTTTACTTAACGAAACTACACAATCCATTTTTCAGCATCTATCAACACAATTACTTTCGGCCTTGTAACCGTTCATAGCATACCAACAGATGATTTGACGTTGTGTAAAATAGCTGGGCTTGAACTTTAGTACCCGCGAGCCTTTAATGACGACGGTGGTTTACTAACGAGTTATGATAAAGAGTAATAGTTCTGCGCGATTTGTTATTTGTTTATTGTGCCCTATCAATGTGATTAGCGGTGTATCAAGTATTGATGATTCTCACTGCGATCCTAGCGATGACCGATTCTCTTGCTAGCGGTATTCTTCAGGTTTTCTGTGATCAATGCCTGAGAAAAGTTTGAGAAAAAAAAACTTGCTTCAAATTCTTCAGTCCCACGCTCTACGACAAATTGCCATGATGCATAGTCATTGATTCAAGAATTTCCTTTCCATCTCAACATGGAAGATTTTAATGGAACCAGTGCAGGTCTTCAAAGTTTCTTTGATAATTATAAGAAATCACTGTTTACTTATGACCATCCGGAAAAAATCGCACTCATTTCAGTTTATGTGATAATTTTTGTGTTAGCCCTGGTGGGCAATTCTCTGATATTACTGATGGTGTGTTTGAAAAGAAGTACAAGGAAAAGCATTACGAATTTTTTCCTTGTCAATTTAGCAGTGGCAGATTTATTGGGTGAGTACCTTTTTTTCTTAAAAAAAATTCTTATTAAAACTGCACAGAAATAACTTAAACGAAAAAAAGTGTCCACTGATTTTTCTTTTGGAAAAGGAATTTAAGTAGTCATTGTAATATATACATGTTTTTTTCCTATAATTGAAATTCTCAACTTGTTCCAATATAAACGACGGAGACTCTTTTGTTGATTAATAAAGCTTATCAATTGGTAATGGTTGCAGTGGACATCAGGTTAATAAGAGTGATTCTCTCAAAATTATATTATTTTGTTTAAATATATTTGAAATTTATATTACACGTATTGGTTACATCATTCGATCTTTTAAGAAATAAAAATCTGCTCACAGTGTATAATGATTCCAGATCCTGCGAAAATGAAAAGTAAAATCAAGGTTCTAAAATTTAATACTGGTTTTTTTAATTTTTGAAAATTTCAAGGCCACGAATCATTTTATTTTTGTTTTTTTTAACAAAATATAGGGTTTTTTTCACATTGAAATATTCAAAACGTTTTGAAATATCAATTTACAGATATTTCCCAGAATCCATGCAAGTTTTGCTTCCGTATTCCAAAGTTTTTTTTTTAAAACTAAACACGCACAGCAGTTTAATATATGACAATTTATAAAATAAATGATACCACATTGTTGTAGCATGAAATCAAAATATTAATAATTTGCCCAAAATAACGTAAATATTGAGTATGTGCATGTATAAAATTTTATACATGCACATTGTCAATATTTACATTAACTTCCAGTGCCCGTGACGAAAAGAAACATTCATCCTCATAATCTGGATTTTTTTAAGATTTGCGAATGTTGAGTCCAAATACCCCAATATTCCTTTTTAAATATAAATAAAGTGCAGATTTTGCAAAGGATATAAATGATTTATTTGCTTTGCAAAACAAGACAACTTTGCTTTGTTAAGAATCCCTCCTTACAATATCCAATATCAATACATGTATATGTTCATTATAGGCTAGCATATGGTTCGGCCTCATGATTTGAGCTTGATTTTTTTCACAGAAAATTTACAGATAAAACATATCAATTAGCGTCAAACTACAGCAAGACAAGGCATTCAGAGCTTGTGTGTCAATCAACTCGCACATCGACATAATTTGGCGGCCAAAAAATCCACCAAAGTGATGATAGTACTATTAGTATCATTTATTTTAAAGATGGTTTTATCAAAATTCCAATTATCAAAGTGGTAGGACTTAAATTAGACTTTACCACCATTCACCATAAGATTGGATGAAATGGCAGGAATGCCCTGTATCAAATGTCTAGAGAATGTAAAAGGAATTAATCCTTCTTGATAAATGAATACAGTGATGTTAAAATTGCTTTTTCTAAACATGCGAAATGATTTCAACTTCTCATTAAAAATTTAATTAGATTGACAAAAACTGATCTTAATTTTTTTTTTTATCAAAATGAGAAAGATGTGAAAATGTGATATGACACCCCTTTCCAACCGGCATGTCTAAATCTGCCTTCCACTGCTTCCCCTGATATACAAAATACAGTAAAATGAAGCTAGATTTCTCTTAATGTGTTTGAGAGGGGGTGTGTTAAATAATAAAATATCTATTGATTTTTTTTTATTTTTTTTTTAATTCAAGACTCTCGGAAAAGAAGATAGGCAATTCGATTATTTTTTAATATATTTATTTTTAAAGTCATTTTAATAAGAAAGTTAAACAATCATTTGTCATCGTAAGCCGTATAGCATTTTTTTTAAAATCATAAATACACGTACTTTCAGTATTTTGATGATTTTCCTTTTAGGCTGCTATTTCGTGATTAGTGGCAGTCTTGTTCCGTGTCGTCACTGAGGCAGAAAGCACACAAGTCTGAAAAAGTGATCACGAATGGCAAAAAATATCTTCCTTTCAGTAATTTCAGCGATCACATGGTATCAGGAGATATCTTTTCATACGATATAGATCGGATATACCGATAACAGCCATTTCTTTTGTCTATTGACAATGATTTCAGATCTAGGCGAACTCATTATTTTCATTTATGAGAAAAGGTCTAGAAAAGTCGTCATAAAAACTTAATAGTGATTAGGAATAATATTAGGACGTTAGACACAAATTTATTTTTCCCTCAAGCAAATGGACACAAAATTTAATTTTACTCTTTGTTCAACCGCCAATGACCATTCCTAACGTTACATGTATATTGTGTTATACATATAGTGCATTATCAGACATAATAATTTAAGGTTGAATTTGTTTAATATGCTGAAAGCACATAATAAATTTTCTTCCTAAAAAGAAAAAAGAGTTTATCTGTCTGCATCTCGGTAAGCTAACCCTGTTGAATATAAGCATGCGCGCTGTGATGTTTTGATATGACATGTTCAATACATTTCTGTTTTAATTTATTTTTTCGTTTTGTTTTTAGTTAAGTAATTATATTCACACCTTAATTTTGTTTTTAGTTAAGTAATTATGTCCACACCTTAATTTACACCAATGATTTAATGTGATATCGACATTATGGGCATTTATTACTTCGCCTTGTTAAAAAATTCCTGACACGACGCTGCAAATTCGTTATTAATGCTTTGGTTAACCTGAAATGATATAAAGTGCTTAATATCTTTACTTTGATGTTCTCTCACTTAGGACTCCTATATCCTTGCTGTGATGCAAAATGAGAAGTTAATAGTACTCTATTCTAAAAGCAAGTTCTTATCCTCCTGACACAAGAGAATCGATTGTTTGTGTACAAGAAACGGTCAAAGTTCAAGAATGAGACAAAATAATCATTGAAGAGCGAGTCAAGTTCTCTCCTTAATTAAGAAATACCTTTCGTACGGGATTCGAGGTCCAAAGTTAATTCGCAGTTTTGTGTCTCCCTCAATGATAACGCCTTAAGACCTTTTTTTTTGTTAGGTCGTGCCCCCCAAAGCAAGAGCATTGCTTCCTGTAAAATGAATTGTAACTCTGCTTCGAGATAACTGACATATACTCAGTATATATAAAAGATGTATTTCTTCAAATTTAATATTTGGTTTCTTCTTTAAAATATATTTAAAATAGAAAAATACATTGAAAATTCCGGTCGATAGGAAGCACTTACAGTTGGCGGGGGGGGGGGGGGGAACAATCAAACGTCAAACATCTTAACAGTTTGGAAGGGTACTTCCGAGCAAAAATTCCTTGACAAGCAAAATAAAGGTCATTCGAGGTTATTATTATTGAGGGGACGCAACCAATTCCTTTAGTATTACAGTATACCATATATCGGAAAAATTATTGAAGGGCATGCCTCCGTAACTCCCCCGCCCTCCCCGGATTCTACGGCCATGATTTTTGAGATCCCTTGGCAAGAGAAAAAAACAAAAAAAAATTCCTTGACAAACAAGAAAAAAAGGTCATCAGATATTATTATTATTATTGAGGGGGCACAAGCAAAAGGTAGCTATGTTTCCCATAGCATACATATATCGGCAAAATTATTGCCCCCTCCCCCGGTTCCTACGGCCATGATTTTAGAGATGTAAATCCATAGAAGACGTTATGCGTTCGGTTTGATACTGTCTTCACACTGTTTGTATCTTTCCCCGAGTTATCGGGGGTTCGTGAAAGATTTTGTACACTTCTGTCGGAAAAAAATTCTGCGTTATACTTGGAGACTTGGTCTAGCATGCTACACGTATTTCATTTAAAATGCAAGACTTATTCCAAACAAAGGTTACAATTTATTGACTTTAATACTGAAAGACTTTTCCTGTGTATACTATCGATTTTACATACCGAAGTAATTTAAGACAATTTCAATATTTTGAATACGAATCGCACTTAAAATACGATTCAATCACTGAAGTCCAGCAAGTTTGCGCTTTTAAAAATCCCTTCAAAAAATTTACGATCGAACTCTCATTTATGTTTATGCTTTTCTGGATTTGAATTTTATTCCACTTTCAGTATTCAATCGTTACGAAACTCTGTTTAGCTCACATTGATAGAGAAAAAATATTGTCACCTCCGCCACTGAAAATGATAAAATATTCCCTGTATTGGAGATTTAGTGGAGATTTAACATTTAAAGAAAATGAGCTTAACTGCATCAAATTGGTAATGCGCAAGAGACTAGGAAAAAGTTTCTAGGTTCAATAAATGATCAAATGGTGATTACTCCTTGATGATGAATTTGTTTGTTTACTCGGACCGATTTGATTCATCTTCTGGTCATGTATACAGGTTCGGCCTAATTGAATATTTCATCGCTACAAAAGCCATCTGATTTATGTAGATCGTGTAAACTCAATATTAATAGGAATTTTATCACTCTTTATACATCAAATTAAGATGTACCAATCAAATGGAAGGTTTAATTACTCTCGATGGTAGTTACTGCTGTTGTAAAATCAGAAATAAGACATAACAGTGCATCAGAAATGGTGAAAAGTGTAACACTGTTAAATCTAGGACTGCTTTATACATGTACATGTAATTGCAAGATAGGGGACTGGCCATCTAAGTGTTCAATGACCTTAAGGCCTTTAAGAGGATAACCTGTCCGCGCCATATTGCCAAGACCCGCGGAAGAAGTATTATTTGTAAGACTTGCGGATTTTTTCAAAAATTGAATTAATACAATATTTTCAAGATCAAGTTGGCTTTACTACTGGGAAAGTAAACCCCTCCAGTTGTTTAAGTTGTGACCTGTACCAAATGGGTAAAGTCTATTAAAAAAAAAAGAAAAAGAAACATTGAACAGTGTTCCTTGTGTAGATGGAAGATACAATGTAATAACCCTTTCAAAAGCAAAATGTCTGCAAATGTGAAAAAAAGCTGAATGATGCTTAATAAAACTCATTTAACGGTTATAATTCTGTATAATGAACTGTGGTGAAACTTACATGTAAATATCCAGTAGAAGCCCTGTCGAAGCAAGAATTGACCAATTTTTCATTGATTGTTTTCAAGACACCCCCCCCCCCCCCAAAAAAAATGGGTTGGTAATTCT